CACCAGAGATCTGGGTAGACACACATTATTAAAAGTTTCATTTATGCATGGCCTTGGTGTTATTACTACTTGGGTGATGCAATTGTTTGTTATGTCAATGATGATATCAAATGTATTGAATAATCATTGTGATGAATGTGAGGACAAAGGAATTTGTATATGAGGAAAGGATTAAATAATAACAAAAAAGCTAAGTCATGTTTATTTTTTATCCAACCAAGATATATAATTAATTATATTTAAAAATTAATTATTCATTAATTTCAATAATTCTAAAATCATTTGTTTTTTAGTGATAATTATTGAATCAATCATCAATTTATTAAAAAGTTTTATTTGTAATGATATTTATTTTAAATGTGTAAAAAAAATCTTTTAAAATTTTTTTTAATTAGTTTTTTGATGTAAATTTTTTTTTGTTACATCAACCTCAGTCCAAAATCAATCATATTTATATATTTTAAAATTACTTTTTTGATCAAAAAAAAATAAATTTAACCATTTTATTTTTTAATAGTAGATTTCAAATAGATTTTGTTAGATCAAATGATACACTATAGCAAAAATCTCAGAAGACTACAAACTGATTTGTGCACTAATTCTAAGATAAAAAAATTCTTTTTTACTGTTTTAGTATAATCAACACAAAACAACAATTTCTTCAATTGTTTTTGTTTATCTGTTTTAGCTTGATCAATAAATCTTAGGTCTCAAGATAATTTATCTTATCCATTTTAGTAATAATAAATAATTTAAATCTAACATAATTATTTTTCATGGAACCAGCTGAAGTTTTTTTATCAATCATTGAATATATACTTGAAAATATTTATTTGCAGATCCACTCAAATTTAATTCTTTTCTGCCTACTTTGCTTGTCACCACAGGACCAATTTTAGGATCTCTTCAATTTTAAAATAAATGAAAACCTACAAAGTGAACATAAAATTATATATATAGGGTTATAGGTATATGAAAAGTATTAACAAAGATAATGAAAATAATGGTTCTGATGAATATCAAAAAGCAATTGATTTTTTAGAAAAAGGTTGTAAATGTGGTTGCTCTTCCAGAATTCCCAAAGAACAATTTGCAGAATTAAGAGAATCCTTTCAGGCTCTTTCCAAGTCTGAACAAGACATATTTTTAATGGCACAGATTAAAGCAATGGATGGTGGGTCAATAAGCACCAGCAGACGCCTTAAAAAGAAAAACAGATCCAATAAAAAAACTTTCTATCACTGAGATTACAATACACCTCTTTGTCAAGAAACTTATCTCAATATGTTAGGAATTGGTAGGGCTTATTTTGAAAATATCAGGAATCATCTGATAAACAATGGTCTCCTGCCAAGAATTCATGGTAATATTAAAAGAATGCCTCAATGGAAAACTAAAATGGTGATTGATAAAAATGTTGCTGAAGTAATAAAGAATTTTCTAGAAAATTATGCAGAAGTCCATGGATTACCAAGTCCATGAAGAAATATCAATAGAATAACTCAATCAATCACATTCTTACCAGCTGAAATGAGTTATAAATCTGTGTACAGGGATTTTCTGGCTGGTCTAGAAGAAGATAATAATTTGAAATCCTTAAAATATGATGCATTCAGAAAATTATGACATCAATTGACACCAGAAATTTAAATTATGAGTCCAAGGACTGATTGTGTGATACTTGTCAACATTTTAGAGATAGTTTACATTTAGTGTTCCATGTCGCAATCCAAAAAAAGGAAACCAAAGTGGTTGCAAAGTGGTTGCAACCAGGTGTCGCAAACCATTTTTATATGTCGCAACCATCACCAAGAATTGCGACCAGCATCTATATTTACATTATAATGCTCATCAAGAGGAAGAAGCCAAAGATTTACTCAAAAGATTTAAAGAACATCTGTCTAAGGCCAAAGTGGAAAGAAATTATTATAATAAAAACAAAATTAGCAGAAGAACAAAGAAAATTAGTTAATCAACATCATTCGAAAGGGTAAAGCACAATATTGCAGTATTGATGCTACTGCTCATTATAGTTATGATTGAGCCCAGAATGTTCATGTACCACATTTAGATCAACAAGCAAGTAAAATTTATTATCTTAGTCATGTAAAGTTCATTTATTTGGTATTCAAGATGAAGCAGTAAGGGAACAAATTAATTATGTTCTTAATGAAGATGAA